GTTAGCTATGGTTAGCTGATGCAGCGGTCATGGGTTCGACTCCCGCTCACGACCCTTTGCTGCAGGTCTCTCTCCATTCTTCTCCCCCTTCCTGTCTCTCTGCTGCTCTGAATAAAGACAAAAAAAGCCCCAAAAATATATGAAAAAAAAAGACGTTTCCTCCGTCCATGTTCAGCAGAACTGAACTGAAACTGAACATTGACCCTGAAACTAACATCAGATCAACTATTGGCTGTGAATCAGTCAGAAACCAGCTGTTCACTGAAAACAGACACAGTTCAGTCTGATTATTACACATAAACACGACTGCAGTGCACATCAACCCACAGCAGCTTCACTTCCTGGTTCGTGTCCACAGGTTCCAGTACTTCATCTACCCTCTGAGTCTACATCTACCCTCTAACCCTACATCTACCCTCTAACCCTACATCTACCCTCTAACCCTACATCTACCCTCTAACCCTACATCTACCCTCTAACCCTACATCTACCCTCTACCTCTACATCTACCCTCTACCTCTACATTTAGACAGGGTTCTACCAGAGCTTCACTACATGGTTCCACCTACAGAACATAAATGAACTGACTGGAGGCAGAGATGCATTTTTTATAAATGCATTGCAGAGATATTCAGCTTTCAGTCAGATACACTGGATTGATTTTATTAACTTTAATGGACTTGAACTGTGTATCCTCGAGGCAAATGCTATCAGATTGGAACTCTGTATCAGCAGATTATAAATATTGTCCCGAGTTGAGGCTACTTTTAAATTTGTAACAAACTGTTGTCGATCTAAAATGAAGATGGATTTGGCGACTTTACTGATTATTTGTAGCCTCAAATGATTCCAGAAATGCATTTTGGTGAAGAGAAATTTTCTAAACAAGCGTATGTTGGTCCAGTCTTAGACAGACCACAAGTGAAACATTTGTCCAATCAGGTGCACCCAATGTTTGTGCAGCCGTAGGAGGGTGGAGCCTGTTGAAAAGCACCTGTCAGTCATCGAAAGCTAACCTTAACGAGTTGTTTGTCCATCAGGTTAAATGCTGGGAAGCAGCACGACAACAACTGTCTAGAAACTGTGGACACGAACGCTTAATGATGAGCAGCAGGAAGCTGCTCTTCCTCCACCTTCATCATCATCAGCTGGGATCAGCTGTCTGTGTTCAGCATTCAGTGCTGCAGGAGTTCACCTGAGAACAGGTGACCACAGGTGTGTCAGTGCAGGTCTTTGAAGGGTTTGGGGTAGTCGAACATCAGGTAGTCCATGTAGTAGAAGTCGAAGGCTCTCTGCCGCTCGGTGGCGTTCAGCTGTGAGAAGTATTTCCGGGTAATTGTGGTGGAAGTTCTTTCGGCCAGTGGGTTCCTGTCTTTGAAGTCGGGGAAGGTGAGGTTGGCCGGGGCACCGATGCTGCGTAGCAGGAAGTTGGCTTCCTCCTCGAGGTTCTCGAACCTGCCAATGAAGTTGTATCGCAGCAGACAGGGGTTGCAGAGCTGGCTGACCGGCTCCCAGTGGATGTCCATCCCCACCGGCCGCCGCACGTCCAGCAGGTACTGGATGAACTCCCTGAAGGTGACACCGGCGCCGGTGCGCAGCGCTGTGCGCGTGGCATTGACTCTGTACCTGGAGATGATTGGACGCCCAAACACAGGGTGGTAGTATGAGTTTGGACTCTCGAACTTGTCGCGAAACGCTGACACCAGTCGCTCGAAGGGCTCCCTGACAAACAGCACTTTGGTGTAGGAGTGCAGCCTCTCGCCAATACCTGCGTGATCGTAGCTCTCCAGCCGCTGCAGGTGATTGGCATAATGCGCCGCATCGTGAGGAATGTCCCGTGTGGAGGCAGCGGCACCGTCAAGAACCATCAGAACCCGCTTCCAGTTGGAGCAGCCGGCTTTGGGCACCTCGCAGTACAGCAGCCTTGACCGATCTTCCACGTAGATCCGAGACACCTGCCGCTGCGACACGAGCTGCTCGCCGACGCCCGGCTGGTATTTGGTACAGATGTCATTGAGCAGGCGGCGGCGCGACTCCTGCATCCTCGCCAGCCTCTGCTGCTGCAGCTCCGCCTCTCCGCCAGCGGGGGCGCCAGAGGCTGCAACGCTGCTCTTCAGCAGCTTTCGGTGGCGTTTGGTGACTGGCTGCTTGGAGCCGAGCGCCAAGTCGGAAAACGGCGAGACGGAAGGTGGCTGCGGTCGGAGGCCGGACACAGAGACGAGGAAATGTTCTGCAGTGACGCCTTCGATTGGCGCTGCAGCAGCTGCATCCTGCAACAAACACAAACACAAAACAGCACGGATCAGAACCAATGAACAGAGGAGCCAGTTATTGAAGATACATCCAGCATGGTGGAACATCTTTCTACAT